TGATCTCTTTCTCTCTCTTGCTTTTAGATTTTTCTCATTGTTTTCCCCGTTTTTCTCTCGCCTCTACATTGTTCTCTCTCTATCCCACCTCTAGATTGTTTCATCTCTCTCTCTCACCTCTAGATTGTTCCATCTCTCTCTCTCGCCTCTAGATTTTTCTCTCTTTCATCTCTAGATTATCTCTATCTATCACAGCTCTAGATTCTTCTCTCCCTCTCGCTTCTAGATTGATCTGTTTCTTTCTCTCGCTTTTAGATTGTTTTCATTGTTTTCCCCCTCTTTATCTCTCGCCTCTAAATTGTTCTCTCTGTATCCCGCCTCTAGATTATTCTCTCTCTCTTTCTTGCCTCTAAATTGTTCTCTCTCTCCCACCTATACATTTTCCTCGCTTTTTCTGGCCTTTAAATTGTTCCCTGCCTCTCGCCTCTACACTCTTCTCTTCCTCTAGCCTCTAGATTGTCCTGTCTCTTTCGCCTCTAGATTCATCTCTTCCTCTCGCCTCTAGTTTGTTCTGTCTCTTACACCTCTAGATTGTCTCTATTTCCCACGCCTCTAGATTCTTCTTTCCCTCTCGGCTCTATATTGATCTCTTTCTCTCTCTTGCTTTTAGATTTTTCTCATAGTTTTCCCTCTGTTTCTCTCTCGCCTCTACATTGTTCTCTCTCTATCCCACCTCTAGATTGTTTCATCTCTCTTTCTCACCTCTAGATTCTTCCATCTCTCTCTCTCGCCTCTAGATTTTTCTCTCTCTCATCTGTAGATTATCTCTATCTATCACAGCTCTAGATTCTTCTCTCCCTCTCGCTTCTAGATTGATCTGTTTCTTTCTCTCGCTTTTAGATTATTTTCATTGTTCTCCCCCTCTTTATCTCCCGCCTCTAGATTATTCTCTCTCTAGGCTCTAGATGGTTTCATCTTTCTCTCGCTTCTAGATTGTTCTCTCTCTTTGTCGCCTTTAGATTGTTTCTTTTTTCTCTCTCTCACACACCTCTAGATTGATCTCTTTCTCCCATTCGCTTTTAGATTATTCTCATTAATCTCCCCCTCTTTCTCTCTCGCCTCTAGATTGTTCTCTCTTTCTCGCACCTAAATTGTTTTCTCTCTCGCCTCTAGATTCTTATCTCTGTCTTGCCTCTGGATTGTTCTCCCTCTTTCACTTCTAGATTATCTCTATCTCCCACGCCTCTAGATTGTCTTTATGCCTCACACCTCTAGATTCTTCTCTCCCTCTCGCTTCTAGATTGATCTTTCTTTCTCTCGCTTTTAGATTGTTCTCATTGCTCTCCCCCTCTTTCTCTCTCGCCTATAGAGTGTTCTCTCTCTATCCCGCCTCTAGATAATTCTCTCTCTCTCTCCCTCGGTTCTAGATTGTTTCATTTCGCTCTCGCTTCTAGATTGTTCTCTCTGTGTCTCACTTCTAGATTGTTCTCTCTCTTTCTCGCCTTTAGATTTTTTCTCTCTCGCCTCTAGATTGGTTTCTCTCTCTCACACACACCTCTAGATTGATCCCTTTCTCTCATTCGCTTTTAGATTATTCTCATTCTTCTCCCCCTCTTTCTCTTTCGCCTCTAGATTGTTCTCTCTGTATCCCGCCTCTAGATTATTCTCTCTCTCTCTCTCTCTAGGCTCTAAATTGTTTCATCTCTCTCTCGCTTATAGATTGTTCCCTCTTTTTCTCGCCTTTAGAATGTTTTTTCTCTCTCGCCTCTAGATTGGTTTCTTTCTCTCACACACACCTCTAGATTGATCTCTTTCTCTCATTCGCTTTTAGATTATTCTCATTGTTCTCCCCCTCTTTCTCTTTCGCCTCTAGATTGTTCTCTATCTATCCCGCTTCTAGATTATTCTCTCTCTCACTCTCTCTAGGCTCTAGATTGTTTCATCTCTTTCTCGCTTATAGATTGTTCCCTCTCTTTCTCGCCTTTATATTGGTTTTTCTCTCGCCTCTAGATTGTTTTCTCTCTCTCACACACACCTCTAGATTAATCTCTTTTTCTCATTCGCTTTTAGATTATTCTCATTGTTCTCCCCATCTTTCTCGCTCACCTCTAGATTGTTCTCTCTTTCTCGCCTCTAGAATGTTTTCTCTCTCTCGCCTCTGGATGTTCTCCCTGTTTCACCTCTAGATTGTCTCTATCTCCCACACCTCTAGATGTTCTCTATGCCTCACACCTCTAGATTCTTCTCTCCCTCTCGCTCTAGATTGATATCTTTCTTTCTCTCGCTTTTAGATTGTTCTCATTGTTCTCCCCCTCTTTGTCTCTCGCCTCTAGATTTTTCATCTCTCTCTCGCCTCTAGATTGGTTCATCTCTCTCTCGCCTCTAGATTCTTCTCTCTCTTTCATCTCTAGATTATCTCTATCTATCACGCCTCTAGATTCTTCTTTCCTTCTGGCTTCTAGATTAATTTCTTTCTTTGTCTCGCTTTTAGCTTGTTCTCATTGCTCTCCCCCTCTTTCTCTCTCGCCTCTAGATTGTTCTCTTTCTATCCCGCCTCGAGATTATTCTCTCTCTCTCCCTCGGTTCTAGATGGTTTCATTTCTCTCTCGCTTCTAGATTGTTCTCTCTGTGTCTCGCTCCTAGACTGTTTTCTCTCTCTCGCCTCTAGATTGTTTTTTCTCTCATACACACACCTCTAGATTGATCTCTCTCTCTCTCTCTCTCTCTCTCTCTCACCACTATACTGTCTCTATTTCTTTCGCCTTTAGATTGCTCTTTTTCTTTCGGTCCCCTCTAGATTATTGTCATTCTTCTCTTTCTTCCTCAAAATTTGGCATAGTAAATTTGATAAAGTGACAGTTCTCCTACACATGTGGTTTATGAATCCGAGGTTGTTTTTTCTCGCCTCTAGTTGGTTCTCATTGTCTCTTTTGCCTCTACATTAGTCCCATTGTTCTCTCCCTTTCTCTGGGTGTGTGTCGCTCCTAGATTGTTCTCATTGTTACCGTTCTCTCTCGCCTCTACATTGTTTTTATTGGTCTCTTTCTCTCGTCTCTAGATTTTTCTCATTGTTATCTCTCTTTCATCTCTAGATTGTCTTCACTCTCTCTTTCGCCTCTAGATTGCTGTCTTTCTTTTCTCTCTTTCCCTTACTTCTAGATTGTTATCTGTCTCTCCTCTAGAGAGTTCTCTCTCTCGCCTCTAACCTGTTCTCGCTTTTTTCGACTCTAAATTGTTCACTTTTTCGCCTCTAGATTGTTCTAATTGTTCCCTCTATCCCGGCTCCAGATTGTTCTCTCCCTCCCACGGCTCGAGATTGTTCTCTCTCTCCCTCGCCTCTAGATTGTTCTCTCTCTTGTTTTCAGATTGTTCTTTTTCTTTTCCTCGCCTTTTGCCTTTCTCGTCTCACCATTTCTCGTCTCTTCCATTCTCTTTCTAGCTTCCCTCGTCCTCCTTCATTCCCTCTTTTATTCTATTTCTGTACCAGTTACACAATTTGGAAGTAAATTTCTATGTTATAAAACAATATAAAACAACCGAAAAATCCCAGGCTCATAGCTAACTTATTTTTTTGAGCATATCATTGTATGACCTTATATTAGAACCCTTTAAATACACTACAATTTGTTAAAAAAAAAATGTTGATCAGGGTACTAAGCGATAAGGAAGCAGCGCTTTTTTTGTCGACGTTTCGCCCACTTTTATTTGAGACTCTTCAGGACTAAAAATAAGAAAACATAACCTCACTTATAATCTTACATAGGACATGCCTACTTAAAATTAATATTTATTACTTACATAAAAATACTAAAAGATTAATTTTAAGTAGGCACGCCCAATGTGAGGTTATAAATGAGGTTATGTTTTATGTATTTTGATAGAAAAAAGCGGGGTCCACTCCTTTGAGAAATATGATCAATCAATTTTGGGACTGAGAATGAAGAAAATTTAATTTGTGTTTGTCTACTACATTCAATTTTTTTAATGACACCCTATATGTATTTTTTGAGATTTTTGTAGATTCTTTTTCTTGAATCCCTGAAATCTTGGAAATGTCAAAAGGTCGACGTCTAATACATCACATAACAAAAACATGAGTGATTTAGAAAATGAAATTAGACATAAATGTGTAATATTTCAATTTTTTTTTTTTTAATTATAAAGTAAATAGGCGGAGATTTTACAACTATAATCACTACTCACATTAAATCTTTAGCACTCTTAGTAGCTATAGTTGTTATTTCTAATAGAAAGTCAACAAGAGTGTTAAACTACGAATTAAAAATTACAAACGACTTTATGAAAGTAAACGAGCTTTATAATTCATAGTTTTGAAAAGTTCACACTTCCACCTTAACCTCGTAAATTTAACCCGAGGCGAAGCCGAGGGTTGCAAGCCTCTTATTTTTAGTATTAATTAACGTCGTCCACGTTTCCCATAAATCCAATTTAAAAATAATCGCGTGAAAAAACCACCGAAATCGATTCGGCGGCAGCGACGGGACAAAATCGAAACGCGCCCTTCCCAGAAGCGTCCGAATTTCGCCCCCTTCTGAATTTTTCACGGCTTTTCCATCGATTCCGATGTCCGCTCATTGTAAACTAGAGCGACGACCCCGGTTGATATTTAAAATCCCAAAGGCTAATGATCTGTGCCGAACGTGTCCATGCTCTGGAAACTAGCGCGATTCCACTGAAATAGTCGCAAGAGCACATAACCTATTCACCGAAACAGCGCAAAGCAGCTCAGTGAGTTTTTTAGCCCCGAACTTTGGCACTTTTTCTTGAACCGGGCAGAGGTCAGGCGCGAAAAATACGGTGTCACTCCGTAAAAAATGGCCCCGGCGCAGAAATTCAAATCGGGGGAAAATACCTGGAGGCCATGAATTGCAGATTGCGCGAAATTTTAAAATTGCAGATGCGAAAAGCGGAGCTCGATATTTATTGGCGTCGGCTCTTTGCGGGCAATAAAAATTCGCGGGATGTAAATTACGTGCGCACGGTGTCTAGGTTTGCATGCATGCAACAGGCGATTTTTATTTTTTGGTTTTGGTTTGCAGGACGGACGCCAGCCACAAGTGTCGCTCGCTGCTGATGGTCGAGAGCACGAAGAAGCCCAAGAGCAAGAAGGACGAACATAATAATTAATTCTGACATTTATTTATACATTATGTTTAAGATAATAATTATATTTTTGCTATTTTTTCAGTGGCATTTATTTCGTGGTAATTGCAGGACGTCTCGATATAATCGACAGCTGGTGGAGCTGAAAGTCGTAAGAAGGAAAAAATTTTCGCAGGCCAGGTATTAAAATGATCTTCGATTAAATTAGATTTATTTTTAGAGTATGTTTGGTGATATTAAGGTGCTAAAAACACCACGCTGTTTTACAGCGATAAAAGTGCATAATGGTGTTTCCTCACTTAATGTCATTTACTGTTTGGTATATAAACATTTTATCTAAAATAATAAATTTTCTACAGACTTTACGGTTTTTTAATTGCTTCCTGAAAGCCCTAATGACTTAAATATTACACAAACAAAAGCATCTGGTGATAATTTTGAACAATATTTTTGTCCGTGACTTTTTAAGATTTTTTAGTGTATGTAATTTATAGAACATGATTATCAATGTGCGTAAGTTCGCGTAAAGTGGGTTTTAATAACGAACGTCACTAGTTGTAAATCTATAATTGTCAAAATGTGTACCACACGAATAACACAGAATGTTTAATAGCGTCAGATCCCGTATCTGAACAAGGTGGCAAATTCGTATTTTAATTAAAATCATGGCTGATTTGATGAACAGATATGTTTAATAACTGTGGGACAGTGTACTATTGAAGCTACGATCTCGAACCCGGTGTCGGTGTCGAGGACACCGACTCCGGTCTGAACTGTGTTCGTTTGACTGTTCCAACGACTAAATTAGGTAGAACAATTGATGCCGTTTATTACTCATTTAAGAACTGGTATTTATATCACTCATTTTAGTCATCATAGGCCACTAATAACTGCATTAAATGATAGGGATAGATACCGAAGGCGATAACGCTATGATTGAACAGTAATTTCTATTTTAAATCGAATGACTTATAAATATTGCTATAGCATTTGTAAATATTTACTGTTACTTTAGTTGGTAAATTATACATTGTACTTTAATTTGTTTTATGCAATATTATAATAATTAATTACATTTGATACTTCTATATGATAAATAAATAAGAAAAGTATATTTTATAATAAACAACAATTGACAATACATGGATATTTACTTTAATAAACCCAGTCATCATCATTAATCATCATTTTGTCAAAAAATACATATCCAACATATTTTTGTTTTTTTTTTATAATTACGGCGCCAAATTAAAAAAAAATAAGTTTATTTTCTTAATTCTTCTTCAGCAATAAGAATAACGCAAATTTCGAAAACATAACTTTCGCAACATTTTAAAAGCAACGACTTTTTTAACGGCCGATTCTGGAAAAACGGTTGCTGTTATTGATGAAACGAGGTCGAAAGTGAGTTCTAGAGCTCGAAATATAGATGAAAATGTGTTTAGTTAAGTTTCGAAAATGGTGAAATAGGAGTCGAGATTTTTAAAAAAGTTGTCTAAAAATTCTCAAAAAATTAAGAGATGTAGATCTCGACGCGTGTTTATATTCATCCCGCAACATTTTCAAAATGTTAGGGTTAAAAATCATTTTTTTTAATTTCTGGAAAAACGGTTGGAGTTATTAAAGAAACGAGGTTGGAAGTGTGTTCTAGAGCTCGAAATCAACAAAAAAAATTGTATTTAATTAAGTTGCCAAAAGTTTTCGTAATTCTATAAACTACTTTTTTTCTCAATTTCCACAATTTTTCCCTCTATTTTGCCCATTTCCTATTTTTCTCTATTTAAATTCTTCTGTTTCCAGTCCCATCTCTTCATATCTATTTTTTTTACTTTTCCTTGTCCTTCTTTCCACTTCCACTTGTCCTTTTGGAGATCTCTTTCCTATTATCTCTCTATCTCTCTCATATCTCTCCCTTTTTCCTCTTTTATTCTTGTTTCTCCCTTCTCCCACCTCCTTAACACTTTTCTTCCATTCGTTTCCTCTATATCTTTCCCCATAGTTCTCTCTCTAGTTCTCCATTTTTGTCTCTCACTTTGGCCTTTTTGTTTCTCTTCTTCGCCTTTTCTTTTTTTTAGTTTATTTTCTCTCTCCGTCTAGGCTATTCTTTTTCCGTTTTCTTATATCTCATCTATAACCTGTTTTCTCTCTTCTTGTCGCCTTTTTCACTCTCTTTTCAATGCTCTTTCTATTTATCTTTTTCTTTCCGTCTCTGTCCTCCCTTTCCTTTTTCCATTTCACTTTTTCTCTCATTTTAATTCCTCTTTCTCCATTTTTCATTCTTCTTCCTTTGCCCTTCTAGCTTAGTCTCACTTTTTCTCTTCCAAAGGCTCTCTTTCTACTCTCCTACTGTCTCTATTACCACCATTATTTCCATTCTTCTCATCTCTCTACCCCCTTCATTCCCTCTTTTATTCCGTTTCTTTCTAGTTCTCGCTTTTTGTGTCTCACTTTGGCCTTTTCTCTTTTTTATGTTTATTCTCCCTCTCCATCTACGCTATTCTTTTTCCGTTTTTTAACTTGTGCTCTCTCTTTCCTTCTATCCTGTTCTCTATCTCTCATCTCTATCTGTTACCTGATTTCTCTCTTCTCGTCGCCTTTTCTCACTCTTTCTTCTATCCTCTTTCTATATCTTCCCTTCTCTTCGTCTCTCACATACTTTCACCTTCCCGTTCACTCCCCCTCTCCCTCTCCCTCTCTTTCTTTTTTCCATTTCGCTTTTTCTCTCATTTCGATTCTTCTTCCTCAATTTTTCCTACTGTCTCTATTACACTATTATTTCAATTCTTCTCGTCTTTCTTCCTTCCTCATCGCCTCTTTTATTCGCTTTGCTTCTAGTCCTCAACTTTTGTCTTTCACTTTGGTCTTATCCCCTTTCATTCATTTTTTCTCTCCCCATATTGCCTTCTGTCTCTTCTCTCGTCCTTTACCGTGTTCTTCCTATCTCTCTCTCCTAACGTATTACTCTTTCCCTTCTTTTATATCCTATTCTGCCCCTCTTCCCTATAACTTGTTTTCTCATTTCCCCTCGCCTTTGCGCGGTCTCTTCCCCCTCCTTTCTCGCTCCACTTCCGCCATTGTCTCTATCCCTCTACAATTTTCATTCTACTCATCCATGTTGCCACATCATTCCCTCTTATATCCTATTTCTCTTTAGTTTTCACTTTTTGTCTCCTACTTTGACGTCTTTTTTCCCTCCTTCGCCTCTTCTCCATTTTTTTTTCGTCTTTTCTCTCCACATCTTATCCCCCTCTCCCTCTCACTCTTCTATTTCCATCTTCCCCTTTCCCCTCCGTCTTCGCATATCTCCTCCTTGTCTTCTTCTCGCATTTAATTTTTCCCTTTCGCCTTTTCTCTTCCCTTTTGATTCTTCTCCCCTCATTTTGCCTTTTCAGCTCTCTTTCTATTTTTCTCCCGCGTCTAACTAGGTGTCTTTCTACTTCCCCTATTGTTTCTAAACTTCTATCATTTTCATTTTCCTCATCCCACTCCTTCCTTTATTCCTTCTTCTATTTCGTTTCTGTCTAGTTTTCACCTTTGGTTTCTCAGTTTGGCCTTTTTTCTCTCCCCTTCTACCTTATTCTATTTCCATTTTCTAGCTTCTTCTCTCATGTTGTCTATCTCTCACCAGTAACCTATTTTCTTTCTTCTTTCACTCTCTTCCATTCGTTTCTTCGTTCTTGATTATGCTTTCTCTACTTTGATTTATTTCGTCTTCTCGCTTTTTGTTTATCTCCAATCGCTATTTCCCACTTTTTCATTTCTTTCCCTACCTCGTTCCTTCTTCTATTCCGTTTCTCTCTAGTTCTCGCCTTTTGTTTCTCACTTTGGCCTTTTTACTTTTCATTCGTTTTTTCTCTTCCCATTTTGCCTTCTGTCTCTTCTATCCTATTCTATCCTTCTTCCCTCTGCCTTGTTTTCTATCTTGTTCTCGTCTTTTCTCACTCTCCCCCTCTTCCGTTCTCTTTCCACTGCCCCCATTGTCTCCATCATTTCCTTTTCTATTCCATTTCTCTTTAGTTTTCATCTTTTGCCTCTCCTCTCTCTAGAATTCTTTTTCTATATTTCCTATTGTCTCTGTCTTTCTTCTATTTTCATCTACCCATCTCCCATCCCTCTCCGTATTTTTCCCCTTTGTCTTCTTCTCGCATTTCCTTTTTCCTCTTCCTTTTGATTCTTCCCCCTCCATTTTACCTTTTCTACCCTCTCTCTTTTTCTCCCACGTCTAACTTGTTGTCTTTCTACTTCCCCTATTGTTTCTATACTACTACCACTTTCATTTTCCTCATCCCACTCCTTCCCTCATTCCCTCTTTTATTTCGTATCTCTCAAGATCTCACTTTTAGTTTTCACTTTGGCCTTTTTTCTCTCCCCTTAGGCTTTTCTCTTTCCCCTCTAGCCTTTTCTCTCTTTCCATGTACCTTATTCTATTTCCCTCTTCTAGATTCTTCTTTCTCTTTCCTTTTCTGCTGTTGTCTACCTCTAACCAGTTTTCTTTTTCTTTCTCTCTCTACCTCCCTTTCGTTTCTTCGTTCTTCATTATGCCTTCTCTATCTCTTCCTCAAGGCTGTTCTCTCTCTCTCTCGCCCGCCTCTAACTTGATTTCTTTCATCTCCTCGCTTTTTGTTTATCCCCATCGCCATTTCCCACTTTCTCATTTCTCTACCCCCATCATTCCCTTTTCTATTCCATTTCTTTTTAGTTTTCGCCTTCTGTTTCCTACTTTGGCTTCTTTTCTCCCTCCTTCGCCTCTTCTCCACTTCTTTCGTTTTTTCTTTCCCCACCTTAGCCTCCTTCTCACATTTCCTTTTTCCTCTTTTGCCTTTTCTGTTCCCTTTTGGTTCTTCTCCCTCCACTTTGCCTTTTCCGCTCTCTCTCTTTTTCTCTCGCGACTAACTTGTTTCTATGTCTCTACCATTTTCATTCTCCTCATTCCCTCTTCTATTTTGTTTCTCTCTAGTTGTCACCTTTTGTTTTTCACTTTGGCCTGTTTTCTCTTTCCTTCGGCATTTGTCTTTTTTTCGTTTCTTCTATCTCCCCTTCTATACTGTTATCTATCTCTCTCTAATATGTTTTCTTTCTTCTTCTCGCCTTTGCTCATTCAGTTTCTCTTTCATTCTCTTTCTGTCTCTCCTATCCTTTCCATCTCTCTCCCATTCTCACTTTTTCGTACTCTTTTCTTCTTACATCTAGTCCATTCGTGAACTTTTCGCATTTCCTTTTTCCCTTTCGCTCTCTCACGCGCCTGTAATTTGTTTCCTTTCGTTCCCTCGCTTTTTGTCTATCCCCTCTCGCCATTTTCCACTTTCTCACTTTTCCACTCTCTTTGTACCTCTATCCCTATACCAGTATCATTAACATTCTCCTCATTTCTCTCTTCATTCTCACTTCTAGTGTGTCTATCTCTGTGCCATTTTCGCTATTATTCTCTCTATTCTTCTTTCCGCACTGCTAGTTATCTCCCTTTCTCACTCTACTAGAAATTATTTTAGTAAGTACATTGAGACTGAATAAAAATATTGAAAATTATAAAAAATACTTCAAAGAACAATAAGAACAATAATTACTGTTTTTTCCCTCTTGGACTCAAAAATGGTAATTATGGATGGACTAGTAGACATATACAGGTGTCCCATAATTGTAACGTAATGTATTTATTAGTGTTTCAACAAGAAGTTCTACAGAAGTCCAATATAGAAAATTAGTACAGTAGATACATCAAAACAATACAAAAAAATAATAGAATCACTATTAAAAATAGACGAAAAATTAACGTGCTTACGCAGTGATCACATACCCGAAATTTTGGTCGACTAATTTGCGAATAATTACACACCATTTAACCAGCTGTGGTTGAATTTTAATAACTGGAACCAATAATTCAGGTGGTAGATAGTTTTTCTGCGAAATGTTGTTGGAGAGTAAGTTCTTATTAAAAGAAAAATGCCAAACATACTTTAAAGTGAAAATTTCATAAAAACAAGTTTTTAATTGGTGAAGATGTACTAAAAAAATTAAGGAGCATTGTTTCAAAAGTAATATGTACTAATAATGGTAATAGGAAATTTGAATGGGTTAATATTTGTATTGGAAAAAAATAAACCGGTCGTGAATTCTTAAACTCTTTTAATAAATAATCACGCGACGTAAAATCAGAATCCATAAATAAACAGGTGAAAAACGAAACTCCATTTTTATCTGTTTAATTAATTATTCATATGCACCTCATTTGTACATTTACCTCACTTGACAACTACTTTCTGTTCACGACGGCGTACTTTATCGCCGGCTACATTCTCATCCTTACGTCCTCCGCCATAAAGCCAACCCATTCCCATCCAGCAACCCGCTGCAACAAAATAGTGTGCCGCCGCACCGCCACTCATCTTAATCACCAAAAGAAACCGTCAACAAAAACACCACATCATTTCGCCTTAATAGTTTTAATTATGTATTGTTCACACAGTACAGTGACCTTCTCATCGAAAAGCTGAAAAAGTGGGATAGGTTAAGGATAATAATATCGCCGGTTGCTGACCCCGGCTCTATCAAACTGATAATTCCCTTTAAAAACCACACACGCCGGCGACGATTTTTCACAAAACGCTAGAAATTACACAAAGTGTGACAACTCGGCACAACACTTTCTAATTCCGTTTTTTTACCTCCAAGTTCGGTGTACGCAAGATATTGCGAAAGACCAGACGTGTTCCTGTTGACTTTTCAATGCACGGATCTTATTTGCTTATCCTCGCATTGTCCTTTCCGGTGCTATTAGTACTTTGGTCGTTTCGCAGCACGGGCAAATTAGCGCGAGTGTCAAACTATTTCTCCGGTTTTTACATAATTAAATTTTGAAAGTCCGTGAGTCATCTCACAAAATAGCTAATAATCCGCAGGTAGAGTTAATTTCGTTTCTTCTACTGCTTTTTTTCCTTGTGCTGCTGCCTCGAGGTAAAACAAATCGGTCGGAGTGGAAATTTCCACTGCACCTACCCACTCGAGCCGCACGATGAGGTGCACAGTGGCGCACCAAACACGACAAGAACAATCTTGTAATTTTACCAACTGCTACTTGTTTTTTTTTTCTTTGACCGTGCTACAAATATTACAATCAACCTAACTTTCGTTGCTGTTAGGTCCAACCCCTTGGAATCACGTCATACAATTTTCGTAGACGCAAAATAACACTCTGAGTACTTAGTTATCATTTATAAAAATGAAAAATCAAAGAGAACATAAAGCTGAACCCTGAAGCACTCCAGATGGAATTTTGTATGGTATTTGGGGCGTTAAAATTTCGCCTGAAACCCTAAATCCAGGTGTATTTGACCCTGCCTACGCCACTGTTCCCATCCATCTCTCTCCACATTTACCACGCTTTTTTTCCTCTTCCTCTCTCTCTCGGCGACTAGTTATCATCAATAAACTAAAACAACCACCTCTTCCCCGTCTTAATTACCATTATCACTCTAACCCAGAACCCATCAGAAAGCCATCCCAGCGGATAAACGTAAACACAATAGGTGAACTCGACATTCAATTCGCCTCTCGTTGCTTGTTGCTAGGACGTTTCCGAGCCGTTCTTTTTTGTTTGGTTGCCGTTCAATTTCCTACTCTTTCTTTTATGACTCATTTTCATGAACGTTTTCTTTTTTCTGGCTTTTTCGTTTGAATTTCTTTGGTGGCTTTCGTTGCTGCATGCCCTTGATCTGGGTCCTAATTGTGAAGAAGCGATTACTCTGCTTGAGTTGGCTGGTAATTTTCCACTAATCTTACCCACCTAGTTTTTTACCATGCGCTTTTATGGATGCTGATTTGGGAGTTTTTTATGGATTGTGATTATAATGATTAATTCTCGACAATAATGGGATAATAATTAGGTGTTTCTTTGCGGAAAAAAGAACGTGATGTAATAGTTGGCTTGTGTTGTACCAGGTGTAGGGAAAAAAGGTGGTGCTTTACTGACTGACCCAACAAATTAACTGTATGACGTCAGTCAAATGATGGAACGCCGTTGGTTTGATCCAGAAACCGTTCGACAAATTTTGTGGTGAAAATTGCCATGTAATGTATATTTTATAATAAAACACAAAATTCAGAGAAAATGCGGTCTAAATTTAGCACAAAATGCTACAGATAAGTCGTAAACCGAGCTGACAACAGTGCAATAAATTTTATTAAACCCTCTTCCAAGTCAAAAACAAATAGTCAACCGAAAAACCCTACACAGATCCAGCGCAAATTTGACTTTCCGGTTGGATCCAGTTTCTGTTTTTCTCAACCAGTAATTAATATTATCTTTATATTTCAGATATCATATTATTGATGATGTGATAAAAACGTCTCAAGTGTTTTTATTGTGCGAACGAGAAACTTGTGTCGAACAGATGCCCGAATTATTTGATAACGCTGTTTCATTAATATAGGTCATGTTGCTCGCTTTTCTAATGATATTCGCACATACATAAAATTTGTCAAATCGAAATTTATCTCCTGTTATCGTGGCAAGGTCAACGATGAGTAAATATGTATTTTATGTAAAATATTTGTTGGAAAAAAATCGAAAACAAATTTATTTTGTTTAGAGATTTTTGAGAGCGGTTGTGTAACGAGTAGAAATGCCAAAAGACTTTAAGATATTGGGGCTATAAATAGCGGTGAAAAATCGCGATAGCAAATACAATTAAAAGCTTTATCTAAATACATTTATATGTAAAACAATGATAATGTTTTACATGGATTACAAAATTTTGTACCAAACATCTTTATCGGAGTGACGTTCATGACCTTTATAACCGTGATAATGTGACAGATATCCGAAATCGAACCGGTTCTGAGAGTTCAGTTTACTATTTTGATTTCCGACAACGTCAAAAAAAAGAATTTATATACATATTTTTTTGAATAGTTCATAATACCTTGTCTTTTCGAAGAAGTTGGGAAGTTCAGCTCTGCTGGAATCCACAAAAACCTGAAAAATGAAAAACTTTGATTACATTACATTATCAACTTTCAAAAATCAATTAAACAAAAATGTCAATTTTGACCATATAATTAATGAAACAATAAAATAGCACTCTAAAAACGAATGAAAATCCTCAAATTTAGTTTGAAATGATATCTTCCAATCGTAAAAGAATACGTATTTTTTTAAAAAATTGTACACTAAATTTCATTTTTTTTTAAGACAAGACTTTGTAGCTTCAGATAAATGTTCAACTCTTAGAAGTTACGATTGGTTTCAAGATTACACAAGATCTACTAGTTTTTACCGAGTCATCCCCTCTAAAAACCCACTGACGTCATCTAAAAAATTATTTATTGAATATTTATTAATGAATGTGATTTAAAAGTTACTGAGCTTGGAATAATGTTTATTACTGATGGTAAAAGTAAAGCCATCAACTTAAACATTTTTCGAAATTTTTCAAAAAAATCTACTCAATAATCTCAGATACTATTTTTAAACCGATTTATATTTTTAGCTGTGACAGAAAAATTCTCTCATGTTGAAAACTCGGACATCTGCCGTTTTGATAATATAATACACCAAATAATAATTAAGGAACACTCTAAAAACCAAATTCAAAGCTTTTAAAACCTGTGAATGCAAACCCGATTATTGTATATCCTGAAATTTTATTTGAAGTGATATTTTCCAAGCACAAAAGAATACGTAAATATTCTAAAAATTCTACACTAAATTTCATTTTTTTTAACGCAAGATTTTGTAGCTTAAGATAAATGTTCAACTCTTAGAAGCTACGATTGCTTTCAAGATTACACAAGATCAACTCGTTTTTACCGAGTCATCCTCTCTAGAAAGCCAATGACGTCATCTGAAAAATTATTTATTGAATATTTATTAATGAATGTGATTTAAAAATTACTGAACTTGGAATAATGTTTATTACTGATGGTAAAAGTACAACCATCAACTTAAACATTTTTCGAAATTTTTCAAAAAAATCTACTCATTAATCTCAGATACTATTTTTAAACCGATTTATATTTTTAGCTGTGACAGAAAAATTCTCTCATATTGAAAACTCGGACATCTGCCGTTTTGATAATATAATAAACCAAATAATAATTAAAGAACACTCTAAAAACCAAATTCAGAGCTTTTAAAAGCTGTGAATGTAAATCCGGTTATTGTACATCCTGAAATTTTGTTTGAAGTGATTTTTTCCAAGCACAAAAGAATACGTAAATATTCTAAAAATTCTACACTAAATTTCATTTTTTTTAACGCAAGATTTTGTAGCTTAAGATAAATGTTCAACTCTTAGAAGCTACGATTGCTTTCAAGATTACACAAGATCAACTCGTTTTTACCGAGTCATCCTCTCTAGAAAGCCAATGACGTCATCTGAAAAATTATTTATTGAATATTTATTAATGAATGTGATTTAAAAATTACTGAACTTGGAATAATGTTTATTACTGATGGTAAAAGTACAACCATCAACTTAAACATTTTTCGAAATTTTTCAAAAAAATCTACTCATTAATCTCAGATACTATTTTTAAACTGATTTATATTTTTAGCTGTGACAGAAAAATTCTCTCATATTGAAAACTCGGACATCTGCCGTTTTGATAATATAATAAACCAAATAATAATTAAAGAACACTCTAAAAACCAAATTCAGAGCTTTTAAAAGCTGTGAATGTAAATCCGGTTATTGTACATCCTGAAATTTTGTTTGAAGTGATTTTTTCCAAGCACAAAAGAATACGTAAATATTCTAAAAATTCTACACTAAATTTCATTTTTTTTAACGCAAGATTTTGTAGCTTAAGATAAATGTTCAACTCTTAGAAGCTACGATTGCTTTCAAGATTACACAAGATCAACTCGTTTTTACCGAGTCATCCTCTCTAGAAAGCCAATGACGTCATCTGAAAAATTATTTATTGAATATTTATTAATGAATGTGATTTAAAAATTACTGAACTTGGAATAATGTTTATTACTGATGGTAAAAGTACAACCATCAACTTAAACATTTTTCGAAATTTTTCAAAAAAATCTACTCATTAATCTCAGATACTATTTTTAAACTGATTTATATTTTTAGCTGTGACAGAAAAATTCTCTCATATTGAAAACTCGGACATCTGCCGTTTTGATAATATAATAAACCAAATAATAATTAAAGAACACTCTAAAAACCAAATTCAGAGCTTTTAAAAGCTGTGAATGTAAATCCGGTTATTGTACATCCTGAAATTTTGTTTGAAGTGATTTTTTCCAAGTACAAAAGAATACGTAAATTTTCTAAAAATTCTACACTAAATTTCATTTTTTTTAACGCAAGATTTTGTAGCTCAAGATAAATGTTCAACTCTTAGAAATTACGATTGCTTTCAAGATTACACAAGATCAACTCGTTTTTATCGAGTCATCCCCTCTAAAAAGCCACTGACGTCATCTGAAAAATTATTTATTGAATATTTATTAATGAATGTGATTTAAAAATTACTGAACTTGGAATAATGTTTATTACTGATGGTCAAAGTAAAACCCACAACTTAAACATTTTTCGAAATTTTTCAAAAAAATCTACTCATTAATCTCAAATACTATTTTTAAACCGATTTATATTTTTAGCTGTGACAGAAAAATTCTCTCATGTTGAAAACTCGGACATCTGCCGTTTTGATAATATAATAAACCAAATAATAATTAAAGAACACTCTAAAAACCAAATTCAAAGCTTTGAAAAGCTGTGAATGTAAATCCGATTATTGTATATCCTGAAATTTTATTTGAAGTGATATTTTCCAAGCACAAAAGAATACGTAAATATTCTAAAAATTCTACACTAAATTTCATTTTTTTAACTCAAGATTTTGTAGCTCAAGATATATGTTCAACTCTTAGAAAATACGATTGCTTTCAAGATTACACAAGATCAACTCGTTTTTACCGAGTCATCCCCTCTAAAAAGCCAATGACGTCATCTGAAAAATTATTTATTGAATATTTATTAATGAATGTGATTTAAAATTACTGAACTTGGAATAATGTTTATTACTGATGGTAAAAGTAAAACCCACAACTTAAACATTTTTCGAAATTTTTCAAAAAAATCTACTCATTAATCTCAGATACTATTTTTAAACCGATTTATATTTTTAGCTGTGACAGAAAAAATCTCTCATGTTGAAAATTCGGACATCTGCCGTTTTGATAATATAATAAACCAAATAATAATTAAAGAACACTCTAAAAACCAAATTCAGAGCTTTTAAAAGCTGTGAATGTAAATCCGGTTATTGTACATCCTGAAATTTTGTTTGAAGTAATTTTTTCCAAGTACAAAAGAATACGTAAATTTTCTAAAAATTCTACACTAAATTTCATTTTTTTTAACGCAAGATTTTGTAGCTCAAGTAAATGTTCAACTCTTAGAAATTACGATTGCTTTCAAGATTACACAAGATCAACTCGTTTTTATCGAGTCATCCCCTCTAAAAAGCCACTGACGTCATCTGAAAAATTATTTATTGAATATTTATTAATGAATGTGATTTAAAAATTACTGAACTTGGAATAATGTTTATTACTGATGGTCAAAGTAAAACCCACAACTTAAACATTTTTCGAAATTTTTCAAAAAAATCTACTCATTAATCTCAAATACTATTTTTAAACCGATTTATATTTTTAGCTGTGACAGAAAAATTCTCTCATGTTGAAAACTCGGACATCTGCCGTTTTGATAATATAATAAACCAAATAATAATTAAAGAACACTCTAAAAACCAAATTCAAAGCTTTGAAAAGCTGTGAATGTAAATCCGATTATTGTATATCCTGAAATTTTATTTGAAGTGATATTTTCCAAGCACAAAAGAATACGTAAATATTCTAAAAATTCTACACTAAATTTCATTTTTTTAACTCAAGATTTTGTAGCTCAAGATATATGTTCAACTCTTAGAAAATACGATTGCTTTCAAGATTACACAAGATCAACTCGTTTTTACCGAGTCATCCCCTCTAAAAAGCCAATGACGTCATCTGAAAAATTATTTATTGAATATTTATTAATGAATGTGATTTAAAATTACTGAACTTGGAATAATGTTTATTACTGATGGTAAAAGTAAAACCCACAACTTAAACATTTTTCGAAATTTTTCAAAAAAATCTACTCATTAATCTCAGATACTATTTTTAAACCGATTTATATTTTTAGCTGTGACAGAAAAAATCTCTCATGTTGAAAATTCGGACATCTGCCGTTTTGATAATATAATAAACCAAATAATAAATAAAGAACACTCTAAACACCAAATTCAAAGCTTTGAAAAGCTGTGAATGTAAATCCGGTTATTGTACATCCTGAAATTTTGTTTGAAGTGATTTTTTCCAAGCACAAAAGAATACGTAAATATTCTAAAAATTCTACACTAAATTTCATTTTTTTTAACGCAAGATTTTGTAGCTCAAGATAAATGTTCAACTCTTAGAAGCTACGATTGCTTTCAAGATTACACAAGATCAACTCGTTTTTACCGAGTCATCCCCTCTAAAAAGCCAATGACGTCATCTGAAAAATTATTTATTGAATATTTATTAATGAATGTAATTTAAAAATTACTGAACTTGGAATAATGTTTATTACTGATGGTAAAAGTAAAACCCACAACTTAAACATTTTTCGAAATTTTTCAAGAAAATCTACTCATTAATCTCAGATACTATTTTTAAACCGATTTATATTTTTAGCTGTGACAGAAAAAATCTCTCATGTTGAAAACTCGGACATCTGCCGTTTTGATAATATAATAAACCAAATAATAAATAAAGAACACTCTAAACACCAAATTCAAAGCTTTGAAAAGCTGTGAATGTAAATCCGATTATTGTACATCCTGAAATTTTGTTTGAAGTGATTTTTTCCAAGCACAAAAGAATACGTAAATATTCTAAACATTCTACACTAAATTTCATTT